AAAAAAAAAAAAAAGTATGATGCTAATTTTGTCATTTTTTATATTTTAAGGGAATGCAATTTACTGTTTTTGTTTTAGGTTTTTATTCACAATCCTCATACACGAAGCCAGTATTTCAGTGCCTCCAGAGTCTGCCAGAGCCCACTGGAATCTGATGTTTCTCTTCTGAACATTAACCAGGCAGTCAGCTGCCTGACTGCAGGAGTACTGAACCCTGAGCTTGGACATGATGTTCTTTTAGTGGGGACCCAGACTAATCTTTTGGCTTATGATGTCTACAATAATTCAGATTTGTTCTACAGAGAGGCAAGTATACCTCTATTGCAACCATAAAGTTCTTATTACTTGTTATAATGCATGTTTTTTTTTAAATGCTTCAAAGAGGTCACCCATTTATTTTGCTTTATGATGTGGCCAACATAGTATAATTAAACAACATGGAATATTTGCCATTTACATCTGCTTTTTGTAGTTGGAGTTTTTTATTTGGTAATGGCTGGTAATCACTTGATAACACAGCACTTCATCTATGAGGTATGCATGGTGTGATTGAAAAATATGGTGAATGTTTACATTTTGAAAAATTTATTATAGTAAAAGACACACAACCATTAATCCGACTCTAAATATCCGCCTCACTTTGAACACACTTATCCCATCATTCTTGCTCCTTTCTAAGCAATTCTGGAAGTTCTCTTTTGTGTGTGTTTTTAGGAGGTGTGCCTAACAAATACAGTGAGTACTGCTGCTGGAAGCTATCCAGTGGAAAGGTAGGCTCTTCAGAACATTGTAATGTGTCCCCATCCAGCTTATTCCCTGGCTCTGGCACTGGATAACTTCTGGTTCATCCCAGAATTCAGAATGACCATGAGAGGTAAATGTTTTGAATTGATTCAGGACATGATAGATACAGCTAGATATACTTAGGAAAAGGATTTTCAGAACTGCTCTGAAGTAGCCAGAAGGATGTGACAAGTGACAAGTGTGTTTGAATGGATAGGAGTTTTCTGAGGGGGATTAATAGTAATGTGTCTTTTACTGTAATGTATTTAAAAAAATTTTAAGCACCTGCCTTGATCACACCTTGTACATGTGATGCCAGCTTTTGTCAGG